GGCTTGCAGACAAAGGGCCTTTTCGGCAGCTGCCCCCAGACTATGGAATGCCCTCCCGACTGAGATTCGTCTGGCGCCGACACTGATGACATTTCGGCGCCAGGTCAAAACCTTCCTGTTCCAGAAGGCTTTTAACTGAAATAATATTAACTGTGGGTCTGATGGCAATTTTATATATATTTTAATTGTATTTTAATTGTACATATCTTTATTGTATTTTAAATGCTGTAAGCCGCCCAGAGACCTTTGGGTAGTGTGGGCGGCATATGAATTAAATAAATAAAATAAATAAAAGGAAGCAGACAGAGCACCAGTCTGTAATAATCTGTTTATTTACAAATATACAGATAAAGTAGGTATTACATAGGCACAGAAGCAAGCATGCTGGCAGGACTAATTTAAAAAATCCTATTAGCCTAAATGCCATTTTTTTTCCTACCAGGCCAAGTCTAAAAACTGTTTATTTCCAGTGTACCTTGCATATATATATTCCAAATGAGTTTTACAGACTGACATAAACAGTCATGTTCCCATCAGGTAAATATCTTGGATTTCTCTCAGTGACGCACCCTATCAAAGCATATAGCATGCTCTTCCTTCACCCTACCAAAGAGAGTAGTATATAGCCCTCTATAATACTTACGTGTGTTCTTAGTGTACACAACTGCAGTTCTCAGAGTGGTGTATAAACTTTTTCTTGCACTCCAGTAGTATTTGTTGGCTAAACAGCCATTAATCCATTGGTGTTAGTGCTGTAGGTAACTAACCATAACTGTGGAACTTTACCAGAGGATCTAGAGCCAGAATGATACTCAAAGTCCGCCAGGTAGGGTTAGAAAAAATGGCAGTAAAGTCGGTTTTAAATTAATGCACATACATGAGTTTTTCCTGTACAAAGCCTGATTTGGAGAAAAATATAGACAAAATGAAAATGCTTAGTTTCGAATCTTCATAGCTTTGGCCAAAACAGAAATAAATAACCGAAGGCAGTATGCTAAGTTTCCTCCAAACCCGCCAAGGGTATCTGTCTGGAAGGAGGCGAAGTACCTGTCCATTGCTACCTTATTCCAGCTGAAATGAATCAAGCACCGAGGAATACCTTTCTTGTTAGAAATGCTGAGGATCATAGAGCCTGTCTAAGCTGGGCACTGGTTGTGTGTTGGTAAGCTCCTTGCTTCTGTAAGGCTCTTGAAACAAATATTGAACCAGGTCTGAAGCTTTTTGTTGCCAATGCTCCTTCCCTCTATCTTTAATGTGTCTGCACATGAACCAAAAGTAGCGCTACTAGGGGGGCAGCAGGCAACATATGGTCCTCCAGAAGTTGTTGGACTGTAACTCCAATCATGTTAGGGATCATGGAAACTGCAGTCCAGTAACATCTGAAGTGCCATACGGTGCCTCCCTGTTAGAATCAAATCAAACTTTTAAAAATCAAGTACATTTATTATTGGGAAGATTTGGCCTTGTTCAGGACTTTTTACACATTCCTCTCATATAGACATATTTGTAAGTGGTACCAGGTACTTAATGGTAACATGGATATCTTGCAACATTCTGTGCACTTTAAAGTCTTGCATGTTTTTATTCAATTCAGCTAAAAAACACACACCAGATTTCCAAAAAAATAAAAGAGAGAGAGAGACAAGTATCCATGCAGGATCCAGAGAAGCACACAGGTAGCTGTAAGGAGTTTCAAATTCTTACCATGACCACCCTGTCCACCAAACAGCAGTCTATTCCAAGGAAAACTGCTTATAAAATTAAGCAATTTCAACAGCTGTGGTATCACATAGGGAGGGAAAGAAATAGTTAAAGAAAAGCAAAGATGTGAGTGGGCTAGGAACACCCCTTGCTTTCAAATGAACAGTTCCTTGTATTCCAGCATATCAACGTCATCCCTCTTCCTATTCTCCAACAAGGAGGCACCACTGACACTGTCCATGGATTTGATGAGTAATAATTTATAGAAATGTATTCTCAAAGGCTTTTATGGCCTGATCTGATTATTGTTCTGAGTTTTGGGGCTCTTTGGCCATGTTCTGAAGGTTGTTCTTTCTAACATTTCACCAGTCTCTGTGGCCAGCAACTTCAAAGGACAGGAGTCAGAGCACAAACCGAGTTCTGACTCCTATCCTCTGAAGATGCTGGCCACAGAGACTGGCGAAACATTAGGAAGAACAACCTTCAGAACACAGCCAAAGAGCCCGAAAAACCCACAACAACCAATTTGTAGAAATATTTAGGAAATACGGTAGAAGGCAGCTAGTTTATATAGCAGAATACACAAAGTTTGCTCGTGTATCAACTTGCAAGAGTTGAGAGCTGTCAACTGTATTCTTATTTCACATCATTTTGATCCAACTACCTTTTCATCACGAGAGAACTGAACTATCCTTTCAAAATATGTATCACCATACGAGGAAGGCTTTCTAGTTTATAAGGTGGTAGTTAGTGATTTCTGAATGACTCAGAAGGTTGTTGAAGACAAAAGTCACAACTTTTTTACTGTCTCCATAAGAATCACAGCCCTTTGAACACAAACACTATTTTTCTGTGCAATGGCAAATCTTAAAATTATTGCTTCCTACTCCTTATGTTGTCCACTGCTAAAAGTGAATGAAAAATAATGTATTCCTATCTTTTAATACCTTAGGAATTTTGAGTTTTATTTATCCCATTGCATTTGCAGTTCATGTGGCTTAAAGCATGGTTTCCAAAATGCATGGAGCTGCTCCTAAAGTATAATGTAATGAATTTAAATGTCTGTTTAAGAGACAGCCTTTACTGAGACATAAACTTTATCTTCACCTAATTTCCCCCACCAAAAGCAAGCTGACTCCAGTCAAAATCTCAAAAAACAACTTGCTATAATCATCTTGTTGAATTTATTCAGACTGCAGCCTTTCCCTCCCTTAAATAAACAACAGATTCTGTTCAGATTTAGTTAGTTGAACTTACATCACGATCAATTATTTAGTTGAGACTTAACTCCCTCTGAAATCAATGTGGCTTAAATCCAACCAAGTAGTCTGGATCCCATTGTTCGGATCATTTTGGATCACAGTGTCCTTTCTTCCCCAAATGGTGTTTTGGCATTGTGAAATTTCACATTGGCCTGCTTCTTTTTGATGAAGCTAGAGGACATCTTTGCTTCTCTTTAGCATAACCTCTTCTATTTAAGCATGTCACATGGGAATGCTAGAGAATAAATGCTAGCATAAAGATACCTGAATATGCTGGGTTTTTTTTGTTAAACACCTACACAATCAAATATGTCAGTATATAACATTTTGATATGGATAGGTCACCTCCCACAAGCCTTCTGAAATTTGATTTTCTTGTCTGGCACAGATATATGCCAACACTGAAGGGGGAATAACCTTATAAGTATACCATAATGTCTGGTTTCTTTTCGTGGTTATTTTTAGCTGCAAACATATAAACCAAGCAAAGAGTAATAATCCTAAAGAATTACACCACCACCCTTGGCATAAGAAAAGAATAGAGAATATGATAAGGATGCAAATAACATGTCATCAATCTCCCTGTTAGTACTATTTTTCACAGGCAAATTCAGATTTTGATCCAGGTAACCAGACAACACCCATCATTACAGAAACAGACTTACACCCTGCAACAGAACTGTCTTTTCCTCTTCTTGTCCTTGCACATGCCAAGGCCTGCCCCTATGATCTCCCCATCAATCTGGAGGCTTGGGGAAATACAAGGCAAAGAATGGGGAGAATTTGTTTCGTTAACAAAAGCTGTTTCTTTGGACGGACAACACTTGATACAAACCATGGAGCTGAACAAGAAGTGGGATAAATCCATATACTGCAATAAACCCCTTCACAGATCAAGAGCATTGACAGATGTCAATGAATGTTAGCATGAGATATAAATATATAAAATGTACTGCACACATAAGGGGGAAAGTTTTGTATGTCTGAAATACATGTGAATAAATTTCAATACTGGAAAGTCAATAACTGTGCCACTGATTTTTTTTTCTTCAAATTTGCTAGAACAACCAAGTCAACATTTTCAAGCTGAATGAGTTAGACTGGAATAATAAAATGCAAAAGTTAAAATTACTCCTTTTCATTCTTATCCCATACATTATATCTTAAACAGTCTCAAGTGATTTCATGTTAAAATTAAGGTCAGCTGCAGTATTTAAATTCCATTCCAGAGGAAGCAAAGTTCAAACTTCTGTTGTTTTCTTTCATTGGAGGCGGCTTTAGTGTATTAAATAGCAAAGAAAGTCAATTTCAGTTTGTCTTTATAAATACACATAAGCCATTATATTCACAGTTGTCAAGATAACCAAACATCCAGCACTCTTTTTGTGCAAAGTCTGTGCAGAGTAAAAATCATCTGATCTTAAGTCTGGACATCATCCATTCAAGCCCTTGGCATAACCTGGAAATGAAAATTTTAAATTAAGGGAAAAAAATCGTTTATTTCATATATTATTTGTGACAGATGTCAACCTCTGCCCATTAAAAAAGCACCTACCTAATTGAAACATACCTAATTTGAAACATACCTAATTGAAAATTATTTGCTCTGAGAATTCCCATTAACTGAAAAACTGAGCGGATTAAATACACTTTTCGGCTTTGACATTGCCCACTACTAGCTTGTTACCTTGGGAGCTCAGCCACGATGATACATAGCTATGAGGTTAAAAAATGGTCTCTACTTCTAATGGAAATTCAAAACATCATTCCAATGGTGTAATTGCCAAACAAATTTCCAGCATTATTATAGAACTGGGAAACTGCTTAAGACATTACTTTTACACCAAATTGTCTGATACCAAATCTACTTGTTTATCCCCTAGTAAAGATAAGTTTCATAAAAATGGATAGTCTACCAAACTCAAGACACCTGTTTCTTCCACTGTAATCTTACTATTTGTAATTATTGTGCTTTATCAAATTACAGGTACCCTATCTGGTCAGAAAAGCATGTGCACACCAAAAGCTACTTACCCTTCACCAGTAAGAGCACAGCATGCCTGGATGTGCCATTGGTGATCTTTAATTGAAGTTAACTTCAGAAACTGAGAGATTTCAGCTACTGTCATGCAGTCTTTAACATCCTGTTTGTTAGCAAAAATGAGCAGACCTGCTTTCTTCAAGTCCTAAAAAGGAACAGAAAACATCTAGCCTGATATGGTTTATTTTCCTGTTATGAATTGATCTGGCTATTTATTACTTGTTTGCGTTTCTAACTCTGAGGATGAAAGGGCAGTCTGAAAGTTAAAGTAGAATTTAAAATACAGTTACAAAAGAGATAAAGGATGGGTGCCACTCCACACAACATACTGAATTAAAAGTCAGCTAAAAAGTAAGCTCTTCCAGTAGTTCCACGAAGAGCTCAATGAAAACCACTAAGGCAAGGGTAGTGAATAGGTGGGCCTCCAGAGGTTGGAGTATAACTCTCATTAGCCTCACAAAGCATAGAGAATGGTTTGCATCCAAAACATCTGGAGGGCACAGTTGCACTCATGACTTGGCTAATGGCTTCCCATAGGCAGCTGACAGATCACTGTGTGAACATAAAGTTGGTCTAGAGTAGACAGATTTTTGGTCTCATCAAGCAAGGCTCTTCTTATATTCTTTAGCTCTCTACCCATTAACTAAAGCTTTTAAAGGCCTGAAGTAAGAGTTTTCAAGTTTGCATAGAACTTTCCTGAAAATAATCAAACAGCTCCCAATTTATCAGGTTTTGTAATTATGCTATTAACATGCCCCACCCACACAAGAATCTTTCCGTTGTGATTCCCAACTCTTATTTTCAAAAGTCACTTCTGCAACTTTGTAGGAAACATTTCTTGTTTCTGTGATATCATGGGTCAGATGTGAGGAACAATTTGGCCCTGTTGAAAATGTCACTTGCTTGACAGTGTACATTACAGTGGTGCCTCACATTACGACGTTAATTCGTTCCAGCGAAATCACTGTAGAACGAAAACATCGTAGTGCGGAAATAAAAAGCCCATTGAAACGCATTGAAACCCCTTCAATGCGTTCCAATGGGCTGGAAACTCACCGTCCAGCGAAGATCCTCCATAGGGTGGCCATTTTCAGTGCCTGTGCAGTGAGGAATCTGTCCCAGAAAACGGGGGAAGCCATTTTGTTTACCCGGTGGCCATTTTGAAACCACCGATCAGCTGTTCTAAAATAGTCATTTTGCGAAGAATCATCGCAAAGCAAAAAAACAAAAACAAAAACCATTCAGACAATCATTTTGCGATCTCAAATGCGATCGCAAAAAGATCGTCGTAATGAGGTTTCGTCATAATGTGGGGCAATCGTAAAGCGAGGCACCACTGTACTATTACTTTTATCCCGCAACTTAATGGAATTAAATTGCTAACTGTCTATTCTTAATTTTATATCTCTCTATTCTTCATTTTGAAAAATAAAAATCTAATGCATGCTTTTACAGGGCGATACTGTTGGTTTTTTACTATGAGCCGGAAGATATATTACAGTAACTGACATTTACTCTTGACAATTTCATGTTTTTGCTCAAGAGATGTGAGATTGACAGCTGCTATTCTGCAAACTACATAAACATTTTATATAACTGTGACAGCTTGATACATATTTGAAAATCTTGCCAGCATCTCTGTTAAAAAATCAAGAGAAAAAGGCAAAAGATACTAAACAACCCCAAAGGCTTTTATTAAATCTAAAAGTTTTTCAGCTTTCATGAAGAAAACTCATGTTCCAGGGATGACTATAATTGTAGAAATGCAAATTGGAGACAGAAGCATAACTCCAACTTCACAGCAGGGATTACATTTTTCAAGCTCTAGCTAAAAATTCCCAACACAGTACTTACCTCATGTGCTAACATTTTATAAAGTTCTTCCTTCGTTACAGAAATTCTCTCTCTGTCTGTGCTATCCACGACAACTATCACAAACTAGAAGAAGAAGAATCATTAGTAAATGAAACCTATCCCATATATCCTGAACCATGTAAGTTGAAATATCTTCCCAAGAAGACCACATTATCTGACAAACCATCTTATTCTCTAAATATTGCTCCCATCTTTTATGCTCTGAGATGAGGAGCCTGCTTATTGCACCACAGCCTAGCATGGTGCAACAAGTTGCTGAATGGAGGAGGGCCGTTTCTGTTGTGGTGTCTTGCATGAGGAATCATCTCTAGGCAAGACCCCTGTGCAGAATGTTCCCACCACCAGTTTATTTATTTGCTAAGCATTTTCCAGATTACTAATACTGTTAGTTACTGTATCTTCTGTTTTAGTCATTTTACTAATTTTATTGTTTCATCAATGTTCCCTCCTTTCCACAAGTGGCTTAACTGTAGCTTATTTCTGTGAACTGTTTTGGGATGTTCAGAATTAAAAGTAACATTAAATATTAATTAAACTTAAAAGAGGCTAATGTTACTTTTCATTTTAAAAATCCCGAAACAGTTTACAGCTCACTATAGCCTGAAACATGCAGTTTTGTGACTCCCCATGTGCAAACTGAAGCATGTTTACTCAGAAGGCCCTAATAAGTTTAGGACTGCAGTTATTGCCTTATACTGGATTCACAGGTATTGCAAAGACCTAGATCAATTAGGTTAGAAAGCCAGAAATGAACAGAGACCTACTGTTGGGCAGCTCACACCTTTGTGTGATCATATCCTTCAGATCATGTTCAGATGACAAGAGTTTCCTTTTTTAAAAGCAATGCTTTTAGATCATTCCAACCAAGTAATACTATCTATTGTAACTGCAGCTAGAGAAAGTTAGAAGGTTAAGAATGAATCAGGGCTGTAACAACACATACTGACTTGGGATGTGTGCTTTCACACAGGGAGGACATTCCACCTTACCTGTCTCCAAAGTATGTAGCTTTTTAAATGTGGAAATGTTTTGGGTATAAATAGCTTTTAGTCTTGCAAGCTTTACCTACAAGACTGGTACAGAATATGACCACAAGGGGAGGCTGGTTGCCTTGGACAAAAAGGGATCTCTGGAAAAGGGTACTAAAAGACTTTATTGACATAGAGCTTTAAGAGTCAAGTGGTTCATGGGAATCCCTTGCTTTTTGTCCCTTGCTTTCATTCATCATTATCCATCATTAACTTCGGCCCCACTGACTTGTGGCACTGTAACCAACTAACGGTCAAGCATATTTGTTGTGCTAGATGTAACAGTTGGATACTATCTCCAGTTTCAGAGAAAGTCCAGACAGACAGACAGTGATACCAGGAGTGTAGGGAGGAAAGAAAGATTAGACAAGAGTTCAAACAAAGTAATACATATGCATGGTACAGGACAAGGGTTACAGCAGTCCCACCATGCCTATGCCCAATTTCCAGATTATTCAGGCATTAACAATGAGGTGAATAAGGCCTATAATGCTGAATGAGCATAACGAGTCCCAGATTATTCAGGCATTAACAACGAGGTGAATAAGGCCTATAATGCTGAATGAATACACAAAAGTCATATGCAAGATCTGGATATGTAGTATGACTGCTAGATGGCAGTCCTGCCTCTATAGTCCGTCCATTTAGGATTCAACTGCCATCAAAATGTTCATGCATGTGTTGCTGTACTTTGGATTCTGTGAATTCTGAACTGATGATGGAGCAAAGCAAGCTATTACTTCCAGGGGCAATATGTATTTCATTTTTATACAAACCATCTTTAACCATAAAGCAAACATACAAAGATAACACAGGAGTGTTGTTAATAACTAACATGGAACCAAAGTTTCAGTTATCACAATCAGGGTCAATAACTAAGGATATGATACTGTTCAGAAAAACACTTTCTGGGACAGAATAGATGTGCTTCTTTCAAAAGCGCTAATTTTGTGCATATTGAAATCAAAAGAAACCAGAAACAAAAATCAAATCCTTACTTCAGTGTTCGTATAATAGGTGTTCCATGAAGATCGAAGAGATTCTTGACCTCCAATATCCCACATAAGAAAACGTGTATTGTTAACTACAATCTCCTCTACGTTGCTTCCTATAGTTGGGGAGGTATGTACCACTTCATTCATAGAACTGCAAAAAAAAAGCAGGGAGGAGGGAGAAAACAAAATATTAAAAAGATACATTTTTTTCTCCTTCACCATTAATAACAATCAGTGATTTGGAAGGGATAAAATAATCCATTCACAGTAGTACCAAAGGTATTGAACAATAACAAAAAAAATCACAAAGAAAAACACCTCAGTATACTATCACCACAGTGTAATTTTCTACATGGAGCTCACTTACTTCATTATGAATTTACATGGGATTACTGTTCCAGTGGTTTTGGTCACCACGTATCAGGACAGTTAAAAAAAATCTATAAGTCAGTACTTCCTTTGGTTATTGTATCACAAATTAGTCAAAAGCACTTTTATGCCAATATACGATGAATGGAACAGAATCATATGTTAAGAATTTCCAAGAGCAACAAGGTCCAAGCTGCACTCAACCACATGCAGTGTCTTTCAAGGTGCGCCTGCGTATGTACATGTATGCGAGAGAGAGAGAAAGAGAATGGGACCTGCCATTTCCCTAGATAAACACAGCATTGCAGCAATATTTTCATCATCTGCTGCTCTACTACTGCAAAGAAATATGCAGCTATGTATACGAATGTGCCACGTCAATGTTAAGCCTTCTATGCAAGAGCAGTTTTTGGGAAAATTGTACAACATTCATATGGAATATATTGCTATCTTCTGTGGTTATGTTTTTGTATGCATTAATGTTGTGTTTAATTATATTTGCCATTCTGGGAATTCTTGAACAGAAAAATAGCATATAAAAGAAAATAATAAATAATTAATTAACACTCAGGAAACCGTTTTGGGTCATTTAAGAAGCACCAACTCATCTCTTAAAATAATAATTCTGCTGCAAGTGCAAAAGGAACCACTGTGGTAAACAGACTTCACTTGGACAAAAACAAGAAATCAATTTCACAGAGCTCACTAATTGCTATTTCTTTTAGAGAAATATCTCTTCCAAACCTGATTTTATAAGGACTCTCAGCCAAGCTTAGTTGATTTATAAACTGAACGTACTAAATTCAAAATAGCTTACTTCCAAAATCTCAACGTAACTGCTTTGTGAAGATATTGGTTTAGGAAGTTGGTGCTATTTAAGATATTTTTCCATAAATGTTTAAAAGAAAATATTGTATTTAATATTTTCTATAAATTCTGATTATCCTAACAACCAAAAGTGCTACATGGAATACTGTTCAAATTATTTTCTGCCTTTATGGATGCCTTGAGGCCAATGCACTGGAATAAAAAATATATATTTCAGCCATTTTTCTATATGCATAGAGATTTATTCTAAATAAATTCAGTCTCACAAAGTATGCATTCCAATATCTGAAATGATACAGACCCAAATGAGGAGTATCATATAGTTCTACTGATACAAAATTTGTCTCGGAGCAAGACCTTCATTGTAAGGTAGATTAGTTCTATTATTTGTACATTACAGATAATAACTTGCATAAGGCTTTTACTAATAATGACAGTGGAATTTGGGTAATCAATTAATGGCAGTATCTCTTATTAGTAGACATATCAATACTTCTCAAGCGATGACAGAAACACAATGTACTTTACACAGTGCCTTCAAAGACCAAAGCAGGGCTAGTATATCTCTATAAAGAGTTAATAACTTTCATAGCACAGTGGCATCTAGGCTACACTGTATGATGTACTGCAAAGTATTTTAAACAGTTCTTAATTTTCTGTTCACCTTATGTAAAATAAAAGGCATAACACTGTTTCTCCCAATTCTATAAGATTAGGAGCTTCTGGACAAGATGTTGCATTAAATCTGGACCTAACATAGGAGAGGCAGCAACAATAGTAGCCAGGACACCATCCAGCTGTGGGATGTCACTCCTCTATCTCCAAGCTCTGAAAAGCCACCCATAGCTTTTCTTATGGACATTATAACACTATTCACTTGAAATGTCAAATGATAATAATTTTTTAGGAAAAGGACTGGAAATAAAACAGTAAGTTTCATAGTATCATTTGAAATTCCACTTAAGTGGACAAGCTGTTATTTCAAACAAAATATCGTGCAGAAAGTCGGGGTGGGTAAGGAGGAAGGTATGAAAGAGATATACAACTGTGCACGGTGCAGTGGCAGCCAATAAAGGTTCTCTTTCTTCTTCTTTTGGTAATATGAACAATCAGAGCCGTGTAACTGGAAATGACTTACAGCAACTTCAAAACAGAGAAGAGGATAGAAAATGTTGGAACATTTTGACTGAGAAAGGCAATTTTAGTCACCTGCTAATATCATTTTATACTTACAACTGATAAAGAATGGTTGTTTTTCCTGCATTATCAAGGCCAACAATGATCACTTTGTGTTCTGACAAGAAAAAAAAATACAGAACAGTTAAGCAAATGGTAATTTACTCAATTGCTTGATTTGTATCATACCCTTCTTCCAAAAGGAGACCCCAGGCAGCTTACAATATAATTAGAAAACAAATAATTTAAAAACAATACACTACAAATATTAAGATATAATTAAATTAGTTATATAAAACAACGAAATTAAATTCCAAGTAAAACAATTCAGTTAAAGTAATAATTATGATTAACAGAAATGTGCAGCACATCCTTTAAAATCCCATTCCTTAGCAGTTAGTCAGCTGTCAAAACCCTAGCTAAATGGAAAGGTCTTTCTGCTCTGTAGAAGGACACCAGAGAGTGGACAACCCAGTTCTACCTTGTCATACGTTCCATAGCTGTTACCAAAAAAGCCCCTTTGGTATCCTCACCAAATATGCTTCTGAAGATGGCGAGATTGACAGAAGGGCCTATGCAGACTCACATGAGAGAATACAGTCTTTCAGTAGGTCTGGGCTCAAGGTGTACAGTATGAGTATATAGTTTATATACATTACGTTGAGCTGTATATGAAAAAGGAGTTATGAATCCAGGAGTAATCCCAGGCATTAGTTTGGAAGAAAAAAAATTCCCTTAGATTTAGATGGAAAGGAAAAATACTGACAGTATCATCAGTGCACTGGTTACACCTATCCTAGATCTCCAAATGAACTCTCCCAGTGGTTTCATTTAAATGTTAAACAGCACGAGGTTAAGGCAGATCCATCAGGGAACCCACAAGACAGTGGCAATGGTGTTGAACAGGAATCCCCCAGAATGACTTTCTCAACTCATCTATTCAAGGAGGATCATAGCCACTGTAAAACAGTACCTCCTAGTAGAGATGGGCACAAACCGCAGTTTGGCAATTCAGCCCAGTGACTGTAGAGATGTTCCATAGATGGCACCCATTTCCCTCCCCTGTCTTCTCCAGGCGATTTTGTCCACTCACTGGTAGCAGCACGCTGCCCTTCCCCACCTCCTCCGGGCGACTGCCCACTCATTGGCAGCTGTGCAGCCTTCCCTACCCCACCTCCTCATCTGATTGGCCATCATCCAGAGGAGACACAGGAGAGAATCACGCTGCTGCTGGTGAGTGGGCAACTGCCCAGAGGTGGGGGGGGAAGGAAGTGCTCTGGGCCAAACCGTGATTCGTGCCCATTTCTACCTCCAAGTTATATCACACATTCTATGGATTATCATTACAAGACATGAAGCATCCATAAGTGTAGCAACAACATGTGGAGGCCAGGGCAGACAACACTTCCCTTCTGTCTGCTTGAAAATAACCGAGTGTCTGAAGTAAAGAAATATAATAACAATTTATTACCATGAATGACACATAGTGACCCCATGACACTAGACAGATCTTCTGGGTGTGTGCTCAACACAATGAACCTCAAATACAGTGGTACCTCGTTAAACGATGACCCCGCTAACAAATCTGCATAATGATGACTTTTTGTGATTGCTATAGCGATTCGCAAAACAGTTATTCCTATGGGGGATTTTCGCTGGATGTCCATTTGGTCCGTGCTTCGTGAACCATTTGTTCACAAGATGATTTTTTTTTGGCTTCGCAAAATGGCTGCCCTGTGTTTTCCGGACCCATGCTTCGCAGGGCAGCCATTTTTACAGCTGATCGGCACTTGCAAAATGGCTTCCTTATGGGCGATCTTCGCTGGACGACGAGGTATTTTCCCCATTGTAACGCATTAAAGCAGGTTTCAATGCATTCCATTGGGGAAAGGGTTTTCTCATGACGATGATTTCGCTAAACAGCTATTTTCATGGGACGGATTATCGTCGTCATGCGGGGCACCACTGTACTGCAAATTACAGCTATATATTATAAATGGAATGTTTTGCTATGATCCTCTTAGGATCCTCAATTACAGTACGTCCTACATGCACTACTTGATTCATCTGCAGGCTCCATCTCAGGTGTTGGATTTGACCCAGAAAGTTCTCAGCACTTTATTAAACATCTCATGCTATATGTACTCATATCTCAAAGTCAGCTCTACAAGCCCTTCTTTCAGTGGTCCCTTCAAGAAGCGTGAAGGGTAGCAACGGATACTTTTTCAAGTTAAATTCTCCAAGTTAAATTCTCTGCCTAGGAAAGCCTCCCTAGTATTCGCATAAGATAAGTCTTTTGGCATAAAAGTGAGAGTTTCTTTCTCCAGGCATTTCAAGTATCAAAAATAACCAGTTATCTCCAGAATGAGTGAAATAATAATTCTACTCATGACACAGGATACTTTAGTAGACCTGTGCATCCAGTTCTTCATTTGCTAGTTCAAAATCTGCACGCAGATTTCTTTCCTCCATATGAGTAGGAATCTGAGTCAAAAAGCTGGCATGACTCTCAAACAAGAAACATGTTTATTTCAACAAAAACTATCAAAATATGACTTGAACTAGCAGTAAGAGATGTAACAGTTTATTTTACTTTGGGACTATACACACATGCTGGAGTTCAGAATGTGTTTCCTATGTATTTAAGTCATAACAGATTAAAACAAAAATCTTACAGTTTCAGTACAATATGATGTTCTGTCTGCGCACTGGTACATACGTAGCTATCAACTGAACTCACCTGCACAACATCTCTATGTAATGTCAGCTCAGCTCATATTACAGATTTTCTATTATTGATGAGGCCAAAACAAACAAGCTCAGTTGTCAGTTAGGTTCAAGTGACACTTGCTCAGCAGAGCAATCATAACATGCCTCCCTTTCCAAGGACATAAAGGATACATTAAAGAGCTGAAAAATACTAACTTCCACAGCTCCTAACAATAAAAAAGATAAGGTTATCTGAGACTAGTGCTGCCCAGTTTTGAAATGTCTCTGCTTAGCCTGAGAATCTTCACATGCTTTTCCATCATCTTTAATCAGGTCTCCAAAAGAAGGTTTGATTTTAGAAGTACTGGAGTTGTTATAACTGTAAGTGGCAACACACATAGAAGGGTGACAGTTTGCTTTTAAAATTCAGAATATCGCAGACAACGTGGTTCTGAGCAACTTCTCCCACAATACACTTCAAGTTCACAATCAAGTAAACAGCCATATTGCATACAACTTCTAACTTAAACTCTTCAATTTGTCTTAGTTGGGTTTATGTCACCAGCTGTACATCACAATCCGTATTTAGAAATGTTTCCATACTGCTTCAGTGCGTACAATTATGTCTTATCTTTTGCTTCCAACAATCACACATATAATCACCTCAAAAACACTTTGTCACATTTCTATCACATAAACACAAGATTAGCTCTGCTGGAACAGAATGAATGATCCACCTAGTCTTGCTTTCTGCTATCATAAGGGCCAATCATATGCTCAAAAAAGGCACACGCTAGCAGGACCTCAATTCAGTAACATCCTATTCTACACATACACAGTTGCTACTGTGATTAGTACCAATGACAGCTCCATCTTCTACAAATTTATATCCTCTTTTAAAACCTGGAAAATTAGTGAACACTAATTTTATATAAGCCAACAGTATGATTCTACAATGCAGGAAGAAGCATTTCCTTTAATCCATCCAGAATCTTCCATAGTTCTTATTTAGTGGATGCCTCCATGCTTCAATATACAGTGGTGCCTCGCTTAATGAGGATAATCTGTTCCAGCGAAATCGCTGTAGAGCGAAATCCTCGTTAAGCAAAATAAAAAATCCCATTGAAACACATTTAAAACCCATTCAATGTGTTCCAATGGGCTGAAAACTCACTGTCCAGCGATGATCCTCCATTTTCGGTGCCTGTAAAGCAAGGAATCCATCCAAAAACACACCGGGGAGCCATTTTACACAGCGGGCGGCCATTCTGAAGCCACCAATCAGCTGTTTTAAAAACATTGGCTAGCGAAAAATCGGTTCCCGAAGCAGGGAACCGATCGTCGGGAAGCGAATTTTGCCTATTAAAACATTGTTTTGCAATCGCAAAAGCAATCACAAAACAGTCATCGTATAGTGGTTTCGTCGTTTAACGAGGTAATTAAGCGAGGCACCACTGTACTGTAATGGAAAGGTGAGACAAATCTCTCTTACCACTTTTAAAACATGCACAATTGTAAACACCTCTATCACACTTTCCTTTTCTTTTCCCCCCTAAGTTAAATTGCCCTAGATATTGAAATTTTACTTGTCCTTTTATGAAACTTTTCCAGCTCTACAGAAATGGTTCTTAGGTCATTACTAAGTGTGAAATCCTACATTGTTCCCAGTTTGCCACTTGCATCAACTATGCTATGGTTACTTTGTATACTAATGACATTATTCACAGCCTTTGCTAAAGAACCATTGTCACTTTGTCCATTACAGTGGTTTAACGATGAAACCACATTACAATGAACTTTTTGCGATCGCAAAAGCGATTGCTTTATGATGGTTTCAATGGGGGAATTTTGCTTTGCAAAACAACCATTTTCCTACAGCTGATTGGCAGTTTCAAAATGGCTGCCAGGTAAAAAAAATGGCTCCCCGCTCTTTTCTGGGACGGATTCCTCGCTGCACGGGCAGCGAAAATGGCCGCGCTATGGAGGATCTTCACTGGACGGTGAGTTTCAAGCCCATAGGACACACATTAATCGGGTTTTAATGCATTTCTATGGGCTTTTTAATTTCGCATCAGGACGTTTTCGTTCTACAGCGATTTCGCTGGAACGAATTAACATCGTAATGCAAGGCACCACTGAATCTGTATCTTCATTTGGTCATGGGGCTATATATAAATATGACAGTCATACAGTCTCACTCTTATGTCTGAAGCAGTGGACATGATCCACAAAATTTCTTTGTCGTTCTTTCTTTTTGTCTGATATTTCAGTCTTTTGACCCAAGGAAACTGGGAACAAAGAAGCAGCTTTTCAAATAATCCGTCTTCCAAAAGTGATCCTTGCTACCTAAAGGGAGTAGATTGGCAGGGTTGATGTGATCTTAAATTTAGGGATCTATTAGCCATTTTTTTCCATTGAGTTAACTAATCTGGGATTTTTAAGAAATCCTATAGTTTCACTGATCACACATTTGCTTACAATATTTGTAGGCATGATTTTTCTATCAATTTACAGTATTTTTCCATATATAAAATGACATTTTCCCCCTAAAAATAGAGGAAAAATTGAGGGTCATTTTATACACGGAAGGAGGCAAAAGAGCAGTTCCATGCACACTCGGGCACCTCTTGCTGCTGCTGCTGCTGCCCAATTACCTCCCAAATTACCACCAGGAACAAAGAAGCAGCTTTTCAAATAATCCGTCTGCCAAAAGTGATCCTTGCTACCTAAAGGGAGTAGACTCGCAGGGTTGATGTGATCTTAAGGTTAGGGATCTATTAGCCATTTTTTCCACTGTGTTAACTAATTTGGGATTTTTAAGAAATCCTATAGTTTCACTGATCACACATCTGCTTACATTATTTGTAGGCATGATTTTTCTATCAATTTACAGTATTTTTCCATATATAAAATGACATTTTTTCCTAAAATAGAGGAAAAATTGAGGGTCATTTTATACACGGAAGGAGGCAAAAGAGCAGTTGCATGTGCACTTGGGCGCCTCTTGCTGCCGCTACCCAATTACCTCCTACAGGGCTCACGAGGTTTGTCCCTTCCGGTGGTGGAGGCGGCGGCAGCAGGAGATGGAGGCAAAGGAGCAATCACACGCGCTCGGGCACCTCTTGCTGCTACCTCCCCTACCCACCCGATCACCTCTTCCAGTGGGACTGGCGGGGCTCATTTCCAGCCTCCCTTGTTCCCTCTGGTGGTGGAGGCAGTAGAAGGTGGAGGCAAAGCAGTCGCACTGGAGGAGGTTATCAGGCAGGCAGTGGGGGCAGCAGCAGGAGAGATGGAGGTGGAGGAGCAGTTGCCCATTAACCGCTCCTCCGCCTACAGCAAGGGTCAAAATTAGGGGGTCATTTTATATATTGGGGGGTCATATCCACGAAAAAATATGGTATATAAAAGCATTATGACAATAACAGTTTTATTCCAATTTCTTTCCTATGGAACCCCCAAATGGAATTTTCTCTTTGTTTTCCACAATTACACATGGAATCAATGTCTCTGCCAAATTATCCACCACTAAAACAATAGCCTGCTTTTCAGCCTCCCTTCCATCTCAAATCTTGTCAGTGTATATATGAAGTTGAGTCACCTAACCCCCATTATGGATAATTTAACACTTAAGTACAATTTAATACTTTTGTCACTTACATGCCATTCCCCTCAATTTGGAAATATCCTTTTGAAGCTCTTTATGACTAATTTACACTTTAATCCCACTAAATAATTTGCCATCCTTAGCAAACACAGCCAGTTATGATCACATAACACACTGCCACCACACCTGCTCACCAAAAGCTCCAGATTATTCACAAACATGCTTTTAAAAACCAGTTAAATACTGACCCAAGGAGGCTCTTGTTGTTTCTGTCCCACTAGTTTAAGAATTCTGGATTAATTATTACTTTCTGCTTCCTGTTCTTTAAAAAGTTACCACCCCATAAGAGGACTTACCATTTTATCCTATGACTGATTAGGTTCAGGAACTTTATTTACTTGCACTTTCAAAAAGACAATGTCTATTTTGTTACAATTATTTACATGCTTGAGCCGCTTGATAGTTCAGTGGTTTAGATATCTATGGAGCCAGAGGTTGGGAATTCAGTTCCCCATTGTGCCTCCAGGAAGATGAGGCAGCCTGTGTGGCTATGGGTAAGCTGCACAGCTCCAGGGTGCTGCAGAAGAGGAAGGAAATGGTAAACCACTTCTGAGTACTCTCTACCTAGAAAATCCTGAAAATGTTTGCCATAAGTCAAACTGCCTTGATGACATGGTGTTATTATTATGATGATGATCATAATGTTGGCACTTTCAAGAAACTGTGACTGCATCCATAAAGAAATTACACATCACCACTTAACAGTTTCAATGATGAGGATGATGATGACAGCAGCAAGAATAAAGTTTAGCACTATATAACCAAATTCACACATTCAAAAACATTTTGCATATACTCTACATTTCTCTACAAACAGCTTAATAAGGTGAGACCAGTATTATCTTGACCACAGACATCTAGCAAGTTTAGGGCACAGAACACAAAGATTGACAAACAGATGCCCACACCAGAACCACTTTAGCTGAAAGTACCTTTCTACCTTACACAGTACCCCAACCCATCTTTTGTTCTACAACAGGTAGAAGGCACAGTGAAAAAAAGCATCCCTCTCTCGCAATGTGGGAAGGAAATTATGGATTTAATCATTTTTACACCCCATGCTTTCTCCACTACACAAAAGTGTACACAACAATATAGAGGGTTCAGACTATGGAACGCCATCCCGAGTGAGATTCGTCTGGCGCAAACGTTGATGACGTTTCAGCGTCAGGTCAAAACCTTCCTGTTCCAGAAGATTTTTAACTGAAATAATATCAATTGTGGGTCCTGGTGGCAATTTTTAGAGTGCTGGAGGGGCATTGCCTCCTGGGGTTCCCCACAAGGTCAATTTGTGTTTGAGGAACTAATCCCCAGCCTCAGCCTTGCCAAACTTCATTTTAAGGTTAGGGCAGCAGATGCCTTTGAGGCTCTCTTTGTTCCTCAGGAACCCCATCCAAACCCACTCTTTCGTTTCCCTAGAAATAGGACCGGGACCTTTTCTGTCAAACTTAGCGCACACAGAGAAGTCAAAACAGAGGAGGCAGCCTGATGCAAAGTGAGCACAATTCTACCTTTCCACTGGCCATCTCTCCCCTCAGTGCTGCCTACTTTTTCCTCGCTGGGGACCAGGGTTTCCACAAGGGGTGTTTCCCAACCCTGCCTGGAGATGCCAGCGGGTGAACCTTTGGACCCTTGGCAGACAACGTGCATGGCTTGCCGCTAAACGACCGCGTCGCCTTTCCTTCGAGAGACTTTGTTTTTTTTTTAAGGTGTCCCAATGTGAGCCACAGCTGAGCTCTGTCTGCCTAAAAGAGGGCATGCCTCCCCCCCCCAACAGCCAGCCAGCCCCTCTTCCTCACCCTGGTGACTAAACAGCCTCCATATCCGGGTGAAGAGGATTCCCATGCTCAGGCAGCGGAAGATCCGGCTGGCCCCCCTCGGGCAGCTCCACGTTCCCGCCGGCCTCAGTCTCAAGTCTCCGTCCTCTTCCGCCCGGGCTCAGCCCAGGGTGGCTCACGCTTGGGCCCAGCCCCCCGTCCGTGCCCAGTGGCGAGGTGGCGAAGGAAACAGCAGGCGCAGAGGCGCGGAAGAAGGGAGGCAGAGCAGGCCCCGGGCCCCCGAGGCAGCCGCCGCCGCCGCCGTCGTCGTTGTTGTCGCCCACAGCAACGCCACCGCGCGCCCCTCGCCGCTCCTTACGGACATTGCCGCCGGCCTTGCCGCAACTTTTTTTTTTAAGGAGCTCCTTTTCACGCTTCGCTTTTCTAGGCCTCAGCGGTCTGACGAGTGCATGGAATGAGCCCCCGCGGACGCCGTCCGAGTATGTGTGCGAGAACGCGCATGCGCTCTCAACACACACTCATTCATAGGCGGCCGCACCTTTACCGCACACGCCCCCGCCGGTATTACTGCCTCCCACTCTAGCGTCTTTCCAAAGACTGAGCAGAGTGGGCGGGGCTGACAGGTGAAGAAGAAGAGCCGCGCGGCGAGTTTATCATGAGTGGCAAGAGTTGCCGTTTCGTGATCCAATCGCGCGTCCCGTTTCTGGCTTTGGATTGGATGTAAAGAGTTCTTGGGGCGGGATTTGGTGAGGTGCCGGGCGACTTTCCTACTACGGGACTGCTTAAAAGGGGGCGGGAGGGGAAGGAGTCCTGAGAGAGTAGCCGTAGTTGTGGCGGTGGAAGCGTTAGGTCTCGGAGGGAGCACCGTTCGAATACTGTTCTATTTTTCAGCCAAAGTTTTGTGTGTCTTTCTGAAACAGTGCTAATTTAAAAAAAAAAACATCGGGAGAAATTGTTAACAGCAGGTGTTCTAATTAGTGCTTGGTGTTACACACCTTCAACCACCACATTCTCCGCCATCCCTCTGCACATTTCTATAGAAGCCAGCAGGTGTGAAAACACCCCCCCAAATGGATGTCACAGATAATCTGCCCTGATGAGCTCTCAGTCTCTCACGCGTATCACACACAAGCCCCGTTCGCTGCACACTTGCGTTCACCTCAGAGCATCAGCAAAGAAGTGGGGTGTCTTTACAGCGAAGGGTGGCTGCCATGCGCTTTCCCCAGGCCTCGCGGGAATACCGTCTTTCAGGATTATCCCGTGGAGAGCGAGTGGGGGGCAGGAAAGTGGGTAGCCTGTGTCCTCCGTTGAGGAGCTAAAGCTCACCGGAGATTCCCGGGTTTCGGCACCATGTGTTACTTTGAAATTATGTTCAGAATCTCCGGCAAGAACAACAGGCTAAGACGCAGCTGATACTGAAGCCAATTTTTATTTAAGAAGTACAGCTGGACTCTTCATCTTAAAAGCAGAGAAGAGTCCCGATTAGAAATTACATAGGCATTTTATAGGGTTTTACACAAAGAGCAATAAAGCAAAACATTCCCTTATTGGTTCCCTGAACCCCAAGTTTGGATCCTGCTTCTAATTGGACTAAAAATGCCAATTAACTCCAACCATTGGTTATGCGTAAATATGTGTTGTGCCCCCGTGTTCCCTTGACCTAAAGTCAGAATGTACCCAGGGTGTGCAAAAATATTGCCTGAATGAGTAAATGCCATTTTTTTCTTGTTTGTGTGTTAATGTTAATGGTCATGATTATCTAGGTTGCTTTCAGGTTAAGTAAAATCCAATCTTTGAACTGAGTTGCCAGAAGGTAACTATTAAACGACAGTCATCCTCACTCTGAACACATTTATTTTAATCTGGGATCAGTTTAGACATGTGTGTAAACTATTCCTAGGATATTTATCTAATATCTAAGATATTTTGCTAGCCGAGTGTGACTGCCTGCAACTGTCTAGGTTTCTCTCCTCTGTACAGTATGTCGTTCCATGACACAGGACACAGCTTTCTTTATAACAGGTTTATTAAACTTGGAGTCAACTCAGGAACAGAAAAATAATCGATACAGAACGTTTCTCTTTTGTGTGCAAACCAGACTTAGTCTTTTCTGTATCATAATTAACTGCTCCCCCCTTGTGTTCTGCTAAGGTAGCCTTCCACCCCTCCGCATTTATTTGAATTGACAACTTGAAGTACAGTAAGCCAAACAGGGTACTGTACTTAAACAAGGATAGTGGATGATAACACTTGGGGAGTGAGTTCAATAATCTTCCTTTCTTCCCTCTCTTTTTTTAAACTCAGGTTTGATGGAACTGAGGGTTCTTTCTTTTCTCTCCCCCAAAGCAACCCCCCCTTCTTTCTGTTTCCCCCTAAAAGGAGAGTTTGTGTGGTAGACTTGCATTATGCAGGGAGGTTGACAGGGGTTAGGGGAGGTCTGTGTTTGTGTGTGTAGAAATGAACAATGCTTTATAGTTATGTTTTTGAGGTCATAAGATTTATACATGGATTTTGAACTACATAGGGGCCCAGCACCTTGGATCCAGCGTTATTCAAGGGAGAAGTGTGGTTTTTGTTAGTATAAGGAAGGGATGGATCCCCTTTGTGATTGGTTTCTTGAACTTGTGTTTTCTTATGCTTTGGATTTCCTTTTGTTTAATTGGTCCTTGTGTTTTCTTATGCTCTGGATTTTCCTTTGTTTAACTGGGGATCAATTTTATTGAAATTGAAAGATGTCGCTTTCAGATCTGGCATCCTAATTTAAAATAGCAAGGTTCCTTGATCTGAGAATGAGTGACATCTGGATGCATTAGAAAAACAATCAGAAGTATAGTGATGAAGGCAAAGTTTAAGGCATGAAATATAATCTGTACTAGAGATAGGCATGGAGTACTTCATGCCCCTTTGTTCTAAGTTGTCCCTTCCCCCATTCTCCTTGCTGGCACCTCTACTCACCAGCCAGTGTGCATTGCTCTTTCTCTCCCTATCACACAATCTCCCAGTCTGGGCAGGAGCCCAGACTTCCCTTCTACACCTCCTCCAACAGTTGGCCACTCAAAGGCAGTGCTGCAGGAATCCATGCCCCACTTCCTCATCTGAGTTGCCAGCTCCTGGAGGAGGCAGAGAAGGAAAGTTCAGGCTCCTGCCCTGACTGGCAGATTGCACAGCGGGGAAGGGAGGAGCAATGTGTGCTGGCTTGTGTGTGGAGGTGCCAGCAAAAATGCCTATCTCTGATCTGTACCATTGAAACACCTCTTTATGTAGGGAATTCAGGTTGTCATCCAAAGGACAACAGCAACGAGAGGGGAAAACTTGGGGGAATGTAAATGGGAAAACACTTGCATTCTTTTTATAAACCTCCAGTAGCAGCAGTTAATTGTGTTAGGCCATTATTTGCAAAATACACACATGAGAACAGAGTCAAAAGTCAGAAAAAATATAATTAGATAAAATTCTCACAGAATTAACAACCACTGATTTTATTGCTGGGTGGGATGGACACAATTGCACACCACTCCACAGGACGTAAGCAGCAGTGATTAGAAATATTCCTTTTCTGGCAAGGTGGGATTTTTTCCTTGGGAGTATATGCAAGGAGAGCAGGTAATCTTGTGTCTCAAAGGGCAAATTGAAAATAGTTCTTTTTCCATCATGATTAATAATCACCTGTCAGTGATTCCTTTTTCACGCAAGAGGTTTGTGAATAGTTGGTATGTTTTGCGCTCTTGCAAAGTTATGGGGCAAAGATCTTGATAAAGTTGTATGTTTGTATTCCCAAACACAATAGGCTTCTTGTCTTTAAGAACTTCTAAGATGGCCTCTTTCCTGTGTTCCTTTGCAAGTTAGGCAACTTACGTCACCAGGCTTTCGGTTTCCCCTTACTGATGGAGGGGAAGTTCTGTGCACTGAAATAAAACTCTTCTTTGAAATGTGCAGTTCAGTAGTCAACTCAGTAAACAGTTGGAGGGTTAAAGTAGTCGTGTCAGTTCCATATATTGCAAAATTGACTCCTCTTGGAATGTCTTCCTTTATTTTCCAGGAACTTAATTCAGGCTGCAGATCTTCCAAGCAACCTGTCAGTTATTATGCTATTGGTACTGTACTCAGTTCTCAACTCCAAAGCTTGATTAGCGGAATTCATATCTCTTACAGATATGTTTGAAGAGGATTAATAGCAGCTGCCCATTCTTGCCGGAGTTGTTTTATTTGCTCAGGTATCTGATACCTTGGATCCAAGTCTCCTTAAGGCCTTTTCACTGACCACTTCCCCATGAGAGGACAGTCAGCTCTGCTTCCTAAGCCTCGCTATTGTAAGCAGTTTTTGCTCCAGAAATGAGTCTTATGAAGCTGCTTTGATTCCTGTGAATTCATGATTCATGTCTTGAACAGTTGTTTACTGTTAGACGTTTCAGTAATTCCCCTTGTTAATTTAATTTTAAGTTTTTTGGTGTTGAGTCTCAGCAGATTAGGCAAAAGCAGCCGTCTTCTCTGTTATCATAACGCCCTCCTCCAATAACTCCCAAACGATTCTCTGTCTCCTGTATAGTTGCCAAAAATGTGGCTATCAATTTGCTATAGTTTTCATGACACTGAAAATCATCCTTCCTCTACCTAATGGTGTATTTGGCCCTGCTTTCCACAAAATGTGTCCTCACTGCTCCCAGAGACATACTGATACGGAACTGGTACTGGTGATAACTATCATCATAACTGGTTTCCTTCTTTTGTTTGAACCTTCATGTTGCATATTGTTCTCTGCTTCTTTGTACACAATTTTCGCGGGCTGGTGAAGACTAATACCATGTTAGTATCCTTTCAGAAGGATTGCTCCTGTTAATGTTGCCTATGAAAATATATTGTGCAACTTTCTTGTCTTTTTCTCCTTAACAGATTTTTATTAGGTTTTTTTTAATATATAAAAGTAGCAAGAAAGGGAAGGGGAGATTACAGATGGCTAGAAAACCTTGCTCTCAATAACATTTCATGAGTGAAGTAGGGTGAAGGCACAATACAAGCCTCATCTCAAAATACCCCCAGTACAGTATTTAGTCCACAAAGCTTCCAGTTTGAGCCCAGCAGGATCTTTGCTATACAGTTGCTACCTAGCTTCCTTCACAGCTGTTCCTCCACAACAGTAATTTGCACAGCACTCAAGTGCAGAGATTGGAACGTTGTTTTTAAAATATATGAATAATGATATGCTGTTGGGGTTTAGGATGATGCTCTGCGTTCCTCCCATTGCTCATTTGTAAACAGCTTTGACAGTTTTTTAAAATTAGTCTTCTTAAAGTAAATTTGCAAACTCTAAGTTGGAAGCAACTTTTACAAAGGCACCCACCAAGATGAAAAGGATTCTTCAAGATTTAAAATCAGTGACTCCCTGTTTCATCTTGGGACTTTTTGGGAGGAATACCTGCCACTAGTGTGACTTGGGCACAGGAACACAAATGGAATTCCTTGTTCATTGGCACATTCAGATTTGATTTCTTCACTAAATCAAGAAAGAAAACAGTGCTGAAGACTCTTAACACAGTGTAAGTGCAAGCAGGGCTTTGGAGCAGGGCAGATTTTAAAGGCCTTA